TCAATGCCCAGTCAGGGCACATAGCAGGGTTGTGGGTTCAATCCCCACATTTCCTAATTAAATCCATACATCAGTCTTACATTCCCCTTGCAGGAGGCAGCCCTTCAATGATTCTCTTAGCATCATTGATTTTGCTATCTCTCTCTCTCTCCTTCCTTCCTCTCTGAAATCAATAAAAAAAATTTTTTTAAAGATGCAAACTCACGGAACTGGGTGAATGTCCTCTTGTTTCTGTGCAAGGAGGTCTTGCTGGTTGCTTTAGGGGTGTGGAGATTCCTGGAGGCAGAAGGGAATAGAGGGAAGATGCATGAATCCACAGGTGTGAGAAATTAACAGGTATGCAGTTAAAAATCATGGTTTTCCCAGAGAATGACAGTATGAGATGTGATGGTCCTGGTCAGCCATTCTGGGTTCCTAAGATTCCCATACCTTCTTCATCCCCAGCAGACAGAAGAGCAGCATGAAGCCTGAGAACCAGAGCAGCGTGTCCCAGTTCCTCCTCCTGGGGCTCCCCATCCCGCCAGGGCAGCAGGGCGTGTTCTTCACCCTGTTCCTGGGCATGTACCTGACCACAGTGCTGGGCAACCTGCTCATCATCCTGCTCATCAGGCTGGACTCTCGCTGCACACGCCCATGTAATTCTTCCTCAGCCACTTGGCCTTCTCTGACATTTCTCTCTCCTCTGTCACTGTCCCTAAGATGCTCATGGACATTCAGACTCAGCAACAATCCATTTCCTATCAGAATGGCTACCATCAACATATCAACAAATGACAAGTGCTGGCAAGGATGTGGAGAACAGGGAACCCTAATTCACTGCTGGTGGGAATGCAGATTGTTGCAATCGCTCTGGAAAACAGCATGGAGTTTGCTCAAAAAATTAAATATGGAACTGCCATTTGACCCCATGATTCCACTTCTAGGAATATATCCTAAGAAAGCCAAAACACCAATCAGAAAGAATATATGCACCCCTATGTTCATAGCAGCGCAATTCATAATAGCTAAGACCGGAAAACAACCCACCTGTAGATGAGTGGATAAAAAAGCTGTGGTACATTACACCATGGAATACTATGCAGCTGTAAAAAAGAAGGATCTTTTACCCTCTGAGACAGCATGAAGGGACCTGCAGAGTATTACAATGAGCAAAAAGCCACTCAGAGAAAGACAAGTATCACGTGATCTCACTTAAATGTGGAATCTAATGAACAAAATAAACTGATGCTCAAAATAGATCCAGAGACATAGAGGCAAGGAACATTCTGTCGAATCTCAGAGGGAAGGCGAGCGTGGGTGGGTGGATGGGAAGAGATCAACCAAAGAACTTGTATGCATGTATGCATAATCAATGGATCCAGATAATAGTATGGTGAAGGTCTGGGGTAGGGAGTGGGGGCAGGCTACAAGGGTTAATGGGGGGGAAAGGGGACATAAGTAATACTTTCAACAATAATTTTTTTTAATTTGTTAAAAAAGGATAAAAACAGTAGCTTTGGAAACATTATCATATGCATTCTGATAATATGTGCTGGTATATCAGCTATAAATCTAAGCCTGAAATATACATACAAACATACTAGTACATAAATATATACATACCAGAAGCCCTGCACAGGAATCTGTGTGCCCACCAGTAGGTCGCTGCAGCCCTCCTGTAGCTCTCCACCCGATGCCCTGCCCTCCTATAGCTCCCCCCCATCCCCCCTCCTATTACCCTGACCTCTCCTGTAGCTCTCCACCTCCCTCTTCCTTGCTGCCCTGCCCCGTCCTGTAGTTCTCCACAGCCCACTTGTACCTCGCTGGCCCACCCTCTTGCTGATCCGTGATCTGGTCCTAATGCGCTTGGTCTATACACCTCAGGGAGTAATGGCTAATTAGCATATTCCTCTCTTATTATATAGGATACACACACGGAAGGTAAACATAGTAAAATGCTAACCATTGGGATATTGGCTGAAGATTGCCCAGGAATTCTTAATATCGTTATTACAACTTTTCTATATCTTTAAACTCATTTCAAATAGAAAGTTGAAAAATCTTTTTCCCAGGTGGAGCAATGCCCAAGAGCAAAGCAGTCCAGGGCATGACTGGAATCAGGGACACTGTCCCCTAGGACTCCAGTCCCTCTTACTCTTGGACACACAGCTCCCAATGGGCAGTCAGAAATCAGCCACAAGCTAGGGGACTTGGCTGCAGTCTCTCATTAGCAGTTAAGTGTCATTTGTGGACTCATTTCTCTAGAGCCGGATAAGGAAAAGGAAAGTCTGTAGAAATGCCAAGTCCCCAGATATTTTCTCTGTGTGTCTGATGTTAGGTCTCCTGAAGAAAACTGAGGAGATGAGTGATAATCTGGAGCAGAAGGTGTCTGAACTCACCAATGAGCCCAGGTGAGAGGAGCTGGAAATCTGTCTTTGCCAATGGACCTACCTGTGTGCTAGTGGGTTCATGTGTGAGACTCTGTGTCCATGACCCTGTGTGTGTACATGTATTGTATGTGTTTGTATATGTGCTGTTTGATAGTTGTGTGTGTATGTGCTATGGATCTGACTCACAGTCTCATTTTAGCATATGTGGACCAAGTTCTCAGCCTCCTGGCGTGTGGTTGGGACTCCTGATTCATGTCTGTGATGGTAAACACTGGCATCACAGCTGAGCACCGGGAGTAACACTGTTGTCTCTGCTGTTGGACAAGAAGATGCCGACCTCATAAGGTACCAAGGTCAGCTCAGAGAGAGCTCAGGCCTCTGCTCAGCAGTGTGTGGTGCACATGTGAGCTGTGCCTGGGGGTGACGCTCTCGTGTATGAGAGCTGGAAGTTATGTTATTGAATTTTTCTGTGTGTATGTGACCACATGTGTGTGACCATATGCATGGGTGTTGGTGGTGGTTTAATGACTGTGCCTGTGACTGAATAGACTTAACAGTCCCATTCTGACTATGCTCCCCGAGCAAGGAGATGGTCAAACAAGGGAAGCTCAATAATGCACTCTCTTTAACAGGAGAGTGTATACTGTTTGTTGTAGTGAGTGTGGCTTTGTGTGTATATGTGTTCTGTTGTGTTGTGTGTTTCTTGTAAGATTTTTGTATTGTTTGTGGTCTTGTGTGATTTTGGTGAAGTGTGTGTAGTGTTTGAGTTATGTTTATGTGGTGAGGTGAGTGTTCACTAGCTGCATCATGAAACAGGTGTGTTGATGTGCATTGGGAGTGTGTTTGGGGTGAGAGGTGTATTACTGTATGTGTGTATTCCAACTTCTGTTAATTCTGACTTGTATGTATGCATATGATGTTTATGAGATGAACCACATATTGGCTATTCTTCCTTTAGGATGGAAATTTGGTCAGGGGTGACGTACATTCTCAAAGCAGCTATGTGTGTGTGTGTGAGTGATCCGTATCGATGATTTAAGTATTTCCTAAAGTATCCTCCTTCTGGGGCACCATTACCTAAGATACTCAAATTCTAAGCAACACCCTGGTTCTTGAAATGGATTTGCTATTATTTTTATGTACATGAGTGTGATTGAGCTGCTCAGAATTTTCCAAACTTTTCTTTATTTTTACTAAACATCCAGGGAAACAAACACACTAACTAACCTTAAACTCCAGGCATCATGCTGTGTGAAGGTATTGGGCACAATTACCATTAAATAGTGATGGGACCTTGGGGAAGTTATATAAAACATTGGTCTCACTTTCACGTCTATAAACTGGAAATAATGACACTAGTTTTGTGAATCTTGCAGAGGCCCTCAGTAAAGAGTTATTGCATAAATAGATCTTAATGTATTTGAGAATTATTTGTCACTTGGAAAGTAAATAAATATGAAGGAATAAAATTATCTAGTAAAGGGAATAAAAAAATTTTGGACATTTCTGGGTCCTCACAGCTCTAAAATAATATATTGTGCTTAGCTCCTAAGCAAAAAAAGGGAAGTTTCCCTGTGTAACAGTTAAGAGCATGGTTTCTGATCACACAGACATATTAGACAGAATCCCATGAAGTAGCTAACACTTGGTGATTTTTAATTTATAGAAAATGGTAATACATATATATATATCAAGCTATAAACAGTACATATCATATATGTAATAGATACTAATATACACACGTGTATTTGTGTGCCATTCTGTCCATGATATACTGCTGTGTGCCTACAGAATTTGTGTCATTTATGTTTCTATTTCATAAAAACTAAAATAGGTCAAAGAATACAAATCCTGACAGCAGCTGTGAAGACGTTTTAAAATCTGGGAATGTAAGGCTGATGTGTGGATTTAATTGGGAAATGTAGGTAAAGGCCTTATCCTGGTACCCAAATGTTCACCTAAATGTTCAGCATTATTATGAAAGATACTTTGTGGACTATTCTGGTTTTGGAGATATTCTGGCCTCAAGTGGGTTTCAATGGCCACCCAATTCCAGAGTGTCCCTGAGTTTACAGCTGAGGGTCAGTGGGAGCCGGCAGGTTCACAGGAGGTCTGACAATGCTCCAACAACACCCGCTCAGCACTGGAGTCTCACGTTACTTTTAGGCAGAAACAACCGACACCACTTTGCAGGGGCTCACGTTCTATTCCTGCCTCAGTGAATCATTATGGTTAGGCTCTGGCCTGGTGTAGAAATGTCCCCTCCATGTTCATGAAGATGTAAACTCATAGAGGTGGGCACCTGGCTTTTCTTGCTCACTGCTGCACTGCAGTCCTTAGTATAGGTTCCCATACAGGCGTGATGTTAAAAGTAATAATTGAATAAACAGTGAACCCCTCTTCTATGTGATGAGGTCTTGTAACTTCTTTGGAGGTTGAATGTTTTCCTGGAGCCAGACTTGGAGAGAGGAAAGAGGCACACATCCACAGGTGTGAGAAATTAATATGAAAGTATTTAAAAATGAATGGTTTTCCCAATGATGACAGTATGAGATGTGACGATCCTGGTCATTATGTATAATTTCCTGAGACTCCCAACCCTTCTTCATCCCCAGCAGACAGAAGAGCAGCATGAGGCCTGAGAACCAGAGCAGCGTGTCCCACTTCCTCCTCCTGGGGCTCCCCATCCCGCCAGGGCAGCAGGGCGTGTTCTTCACCCTGTTCCTGGGCATGTACCTGACCACGGTGCTGGGCAACCTGCTCATCATCCTGCTCATCAGGCTGGACTCTCGCCTGCACACGCCCATGTACTTCTTCCTCAGCCACTTGGCCTTCTCTGACATTTCTCTCTCGTCTGTCACTGTCCCCAAGATGCTCATGAACATGCAGACTCGGCAACAATCCATCTCCTATGTGGGATGCATTTCTCAGTTGTATTTTTTCATACTTTTTGCTGGTCTTGACAACTTCCTTTTGGCTGTGATGGCATATGACAGGTATGTGGCCATCTGTCAGCCTCTGCACTACACCACCATCATGAGGCAGGGGCTGTGTGTGCTGCAGGTGGCTGGCTCCTGGGTTATCTCCTGTGGATATGCCCTTTTGCACACCCTCCTCTTGGTCCGACTGTCTTTCTGTGCTGACAATGCCATCATCCACTACTTCTGTGACCTCGCTGCACTCCTGAAGCTGAGCTGCTCAGACACCTTCCTCAATGAGCTGGTCATATACACTGTTGGAGGAATGATTTCCTTTTTGTGTATTGGTGTTATTCTGGGCTCCTATATCCGTATAGGGACCATCATCCTCAGGGTCCCCTCCACTAAGAGACTCTACAAAGCCTTTTCTACCTGTGGCTCCCATCTCTCTGTGGTGTCTTTATACTACGGGACAGTTGCAGGTGTTTACTTTTTCTCCTCATCATGGGGTTCCAAAGACATAATTGCTTCGGTCATGTACATGGTAGTTACCCCCATGCTGAACCCCTTCATCTACAGCCTGAGGAACAGAGATATCAAACAGGCCTTAGAGATGTGTGTCAAGAGGATTAAGTTCTTTAAGTGGCAATCACTAAGTCCTCTGGTTGCAGTCAGGAGCACAGGGAAATATATCTCCTAAAATTACTGAATAGTCAACATCTCCATATACCTTTAATAGAATTTGCATTCTGTTGTCATGTACAGTGTGGTTAATATGTAAACTAGCTCAAGTTTGCTACATGGATTGTTAATAATGTTATATTCCCAATTAGTTATTTTTGCTTGTTCATCATCTCATAAGATTTATGCAAAATATATTGTACAATTATAGATGTGGATTTTCTTTTTCTCCTTTGAGATGTGTCAGCTTTTGCTTATGTATTTTTTATACTATGTTATTGATGACATACTGCTTTAGCCTCATGATTTGCTTCTGGTGAGATTTGTTTCTACCTGATTCATTAATGCTGGCTTTTGATGACTTCAAGTTGATTGTGAGGATCTCTTCCCAACTGACATTCAGTGACATCATGTTGGTAGACTGCAATCAGCCATGATAAGAAAAATTACACTATGAAAAATGGCATATGCCACAAAATAAGGCTTTTCAAACAAGAGGGCCAGACTTTTCAAAAATACATTCAAAAGCACACCACTGCATTTATGATTAGGAGATGTTTCTAGAAATGGGCTTTACCTTAACTACTCATCTACTTCTTATATTAGTATAAGTACTTTACTATAATTTTATGTTTTGTATATCAAACTACAATTAATAATTAAAGAGAGTGTAAGAAGTGATCTCTTAAGAACACAGGGAAGAATCATAAAACAATAATGATAATGTATGATTAAGTTAATACAGACAGTCCTCGGGTTTCATCGGACTCTACATACGCCGTTTCATGATTATGACGCCATCGATATAGATACACATACAGATATATGAACAGACATATAGGTATAAATATACAGATAGAGATATAGATACTAGTATAGAATAGGGAGTAAAATGCAGCTTTCTTGCAGTTAGAGTTTAATGGTGTATTTTTTCCATCACTTTAAACTTTTCTTTTTCCTTATATCTCTGAGGTGTCCATTATTAACAATGTAATGCTGGATATTGCTCATTTTATGTAGAGTAACAATTATTGTATTTCTGGAGAATTTTGTCTCTTGACATCTAATGTAATCATAATAGATTTGAATTTATATTTTCCATGTAACTATATTTTTTATTTGATACATGTTTCACATATATTCTCTCTTGTCTTCCTCCTTTTTGATTAAATGTATATTTTAATCCATTTCCCTCTACAGTACATCCTCGGGTTACATCGGGGATCTGTTCCTACCACATGGAACTCACCTATATAAGCACCTACGTCACTCAGGTGAAGCACATTCACAGCAGTAATGAAGTGAAAAAGTAAAAAAAATTTAAAAGAAAGGTAACAATTCCTGAACTTTACTTGTTGTAAATAAGTAATAAAAAACAGACCGCCAAACCTCAGAGGGAAGGTAGGGGAGGGTGGGGGTAAGGGAGAGAGGTCAACCAAAGGACTTATATGCAAGCATATAGACCTAACCAATGGACACAGACAACAGGGTGGTGAGAGCATGAGTGGGGGGCATAGGGGGTGACGTGGGGATAAGGACACATATGTAATAACTTAATCAATAAAAAAATGAAATAAAATAAATTGACATCTACACTATTAAAAGACAAAGATGCTAATTTGCAGTACCTTCACCACGTCCGTCAGCCAATCAGAAGAGTATGCAAATTAACCCAACAAAGATGGCCGTTAAATTTGCATACTGCACGTGGGATCAGGGCCTCTGATCTGTGACTGGGGAGGTGGGGCGAGCAGTGCCAGATGCCGCCCTTGGGATCCAGGCCCCAGATTGGGACAGGGGAGGCGGCGCAGGAAGTACCAGATGCTGCCCACGAGATCCGGGCCTCAGATCTGTGACCCGGGGAGACTGCGAGAGGGCACAGGCCAAGCTGAGGGACCCCCCTGAGTGCACAAATTTTTGTGCACTGGGCCTCTAGTAAAAAAATAAGAAGCAAAAAAAATAATAAAAAACATAAAGCACATATGTACATATATTGAAATGACAGAACTTTTTTTATATAAATAAATGGAAGATAGCTACATAATCTTGAAACGGCGTACGTCCAGTCCAACGTAACCCAAGGACTGTCTGCATTAACTCAACCATACATTATAATTATTGTTTTATGATTCTTCCCTGTGTTCTTAAGAGATCACTTCTTACACTCTCTTTAATTTTTAATTGTAGTTTCATATACAAAACATAACATTTACCATTCTACCCCTTTGAACCATTTAGGACACTCATCAGCAAGATCTCATTTTATGACCACTAAAGAGTCTCCACAGAATATCAACTGAGTATTTTGCAACTGTGAAAAAAATAAGAACAAGGATATCTATGAATTGATACGAAGAAATAGTGAGATATATTGCTAAATGGAAAAAAAAGCAATGTGTAAAAGAGCATTTATAGCGTGCTACTTCTCATGTAAAAATGAAGGGAAATAAAATATCCAACTGTCTGCCCATTGAGCAAAAAGAAGCACAGGAAGAATAAATCAGAAACTAATAGGATTTTTTTTTAATCTACAGGAGTTGGGGCAGAAGCGATGGGGAGATGGGTAGAATTATTTGTGTAGTTTTGACTATGTTGCCTTTTGCAAGTAAAACATGAATAGAAAAGGTGGCTAGTAAAGCAAAATAGAATAAAACAAATCAAATGAACATAACAAAATTTAAATTAACACCATAATTACACTAAAAGGGAAAATAAAATAAATAACCTAAGTAGTTCTTGAACCCAGAATTTTGTCTATAAACGTTCACAATTTAAAAAAAAAACAAAACAAAACCTCAAAACAAAGTTTTAAGCTGTGCTATGTTATTAACTGTGGTATGAGTTCAAGATTCTGAAACAACTCACCATGTATCCAAAGATTCAGCAAATAAGTAAACACTGAGGAAAAGATAGTGACTCTCACTCTCAGGGAAAGGAGCTCTGTACATGGAAAAGGAGAGGCTGGAAAAAAAAACTCTATGGTGTCAAACTAGAATTGGAGATATCAATTCAAACTCATGGGTTTTAAAATGCATAAACAGGTTGCAATTTATTTTTTATTTATTGTCTGTATATCAACAGCTATATTGTCCCATCCCCCATTATTTGTGTCCCACTCCTGACCCACCTCCTGAGGGTAAACTTCCCTTCAGTTTCTTAGTTTCTAGTTTTTACTCCTTTTGTTTCTGTTATAAGTATTTCCCAGTTGGCTTCTCTGAGATCATTTAGAATCCTTGCAACCAATAAAAACACCTAAAGCTACAAAATAGTGGTAATGGATTATAACTCAAGAGAATAAGCATCCATGAGACCATGATGATATGAAAAAATGAATAAATAAATAAATAAATAAATGTGGGAAATAGTGTAAGTCCCTTCTTATAGGGGAATACTAGCACACCTAATAAACATAGAAGAAATAATAGAATTAGAAGAATCACAATTTGGCCACCACATTTGCAATAATTTTGTCATATAAGAATCACCAATAAATTTTTACAGAGAATTCCTTATGACCTCAGCATATTTTTATAGATGAGCCATATCTCTACCCTCTCATACTCCAAGGAACAAGTTTGTTCACTTTTTCAACATACAGGACCATAGGAATTTGAAGCCAATGATTGTGTGGACCACCCTATACCAAATCTGTTCAATTCAGTTATTTCTACATATTTCCTGGTAAATAACAGATTTTCTTCTTTTTTTCAATATTATTTTGTATTGGTGTCAGGAATACAGCATAGTCATTACAGTGGAAATACTGAGAAGAACACTATGTAAAGTATATGATTAGCTAAACACTATCTTTTCTTTTAAATTTTTTTTTTTACTTTAAATAATATTTTCCTGAGGAGAACCAAGATGGCAGCATAGGTACACACCTATACTTGCTGCCTCTTACGGCCACATCAAAATTACACCTAAAAGGCAGATCAATGACCACCCAGAACTGCAGGAAAGCTGGCTGAGTGGAAGTTCCACAACTACAGAGGTGAAGAAAGCACAGTGAGACTGGTAAGAGATGCAAAGGCACATACAGTGCTGGCACCTGGATGTGCTGCTCTTTTAATCGGGAGGGAGATACAAGCTCCCTCTTGCTCTGAACAATGACCCAGACACATATGGTGAGAAACTGGACTGTCTGGCATCGGGACAAAAATGCAAGGGCGTCTTTCTCGCAGAGGTGCTCACAGCAATAGTTGCTCCTGCAGGGGGGGTTGGGGGGGTCACAGGACTCAGAGACCTGGGGACCTCTCCAGTGCAGGGCTGACAGGAGGCCATTGCTGCTTGCTCCACCCTGGTGATTCCCAGAGACCCTGCCCCACCCAATTTACAACCCCACCCAAATTGTGCACATCGGCTTTTGCATATGAATGGCCTGTCCTTTCTCTGCCTAAAACCTGTCAAACTGCAGCTGGGTCAGAGAGCCTCAGAGCTTCCAAAAGAAGGCCCAAGGCCCGGCAGCAGCAGCCTGCCTTGCTTCACAGCTGGGCCTCGTCTGGGCACTTTCAAACCCCATACAAAGAGGAGGAATCTGCAGATGTCTCTGTAGATCCTGCTGGGCAGCCCCAGACAGTGGCTGACGTTGCACCTCCTTGGAGAGCCAAGAATCTGTGTACCCAGCAGTCAGAGTGAGACCATACTGGATTACACTCTTCACATCCATAAGAGACACACTCAAGGGGCAGACTCAGTGAGCACCAACGCCCCACTGAAGCAAGTCCTGCCCCATAAGGGTGTCTCCTGCGCAACAGATTTTCCAGTGCAGACACAACTGGTCATCACAGCCAATTGGCCTGGAGGTCAATTCCTCCCAGTGATACCAATAGCAATCAAGGGTTAACTACAAGACTGTGCAAATAGCCCACAAAGAGGTTCACCAAGAGTAACCACCTCAGGAGACCGGGGAGGCTGAGCCACTGAGCCCTACAGACACATACCACACAAAGCCACTCTATCAACTCAAGGAGCCTTAGACGCAACGGATCCTCGCAGGCGGCCAGAAATGTGGAGACA